ATCACATACCTCACTCTCAAGTCTATACTACATCAGGCAAATAAATTCGTCTCATGTGGTCATAAGCATAAAAGACTCCTTGACAATCAAGATCACAGACACAAACATTTGTAAGATCAAAAAACAATGTCTAGTTCTGCCCATCATCCACACTCTCTGTGGTTTCTCTTCTGTATTATTATAACAGGTTCTGTGAGGAAGACTGCTATTAGTCTGGCAAACAGGGAAGAGAAAGTGCCAATTCTCCCTCTATATTAATTAATAACATTTAAACATATCCCAAATAGATGGTATCTCTTATAAGTGTGAAAGTTTACTGAATAATTACAGTCTTCTGATCACATTAAAATTACTCATCACAATGTTTAAGAAACAAAAACTTCCATTCAGTTGCTTTTTTAAGAGGGAAAAATGTTCTCAAATTATGAAAGAAATCTTTAATTACTTGCATGGTCTGTGTGTGGGGGGGGGGGGTATGGGGAGCAGGGGGAGAAAATGCACATAAGCAGGAGCCATAGGGAGACACCCAGTGTTGTCTTCTGTCACTCCCCACCTTATAGACAGGACCTCCCACTGATCCTGAAGCTCACTGTGGCCACTGGGCTAGCAAGCCAGCGACCTCCCAGAATCTGCCTGTTTCCACCACCAATTCTGGGGTTATAAAGCACATAAAGCCATGCCCAACTTTCTGTGTAGGTTCCGAGGTCTTGGGTCCTCATGTTTTCACAGCAAGCATTTTGTCCCCTGAGCCATCCCCACCCCCCCCGACCCTAACCACCCCCAACCCCGGGCCCATTACAAAAAGTTTTTAAACCTCCTATTATAGAAACAGCCATTTTTGGCTGAAGAAAATAAAATGGTGTCTTTGGGAATTGAAATTTTTAAGTATGCTATATGTGCATAGGGACATTATGTGTCAGCGAGGAAAAATAAAATCGAAACTCTAAGAATACCCTCAACTGACATACATACAAAGTAGAGTGAGAGACTGTCAAACTGTGAGAAAAGTTCCATGCCAGCCAGGAAGTTCCACACCCCTCAAAGGTTCACATGGAGATACAGTAAAAATTGGCAACAATTTGGTGAATGGATAACTGAACAAAAAAAAAAATCTAAATTGAGAAAAAAAACCCAAAGATGAATGCAGAGTGGGATCCAGGGTGGAAAAAAACTCTATACCATCTGAGAGCTCCTATAATATCTCTTTTGCTAACCTACAACATTATAATTATTATTTTAGCTTCTCAACAGTGTTCTGGTGAGCACTAGTCTTACTTACGTGTCACTTTGTACTAACTTAGAAGATACAAACAGAAAACAAGTCACCATCTGTAACTCAGTAATTTCTTAACTGAGAGCAGCTCCAGTGCCACCCAGATCAATAAATAAGCAGGGTATCCAGCATCCAGCTATCTCCTTCAAGCCTCTTCCAAAGCAAGTACTAACACACAGACTTCTAACTCATCAGTCAGCTTGTCTATTTCTGAAACTTATGGAGGTAAAATGAAATGTCTACTCGTGTCTGATTTCCTCTTCCTGAAATGCATCAATATGGCTATGTATAACACAAGGCAATTCTCTCACATTGTGGTGTGATTTCATCACGTGCACACACTCCCACACTTTGGTACATTGTACTACTGACAAGAATTCAGGGCATCTACATCATGGAACTATTAAGAGTGTCGATGCTATTATACAGCCCCACATTCTTTGAATGAACACATGTACTCAGTTCTTCTGGGCTCATATCCAAGGATGGATTAGCTGGCCATTAGGCTGTACAAAGTGACTATGCAGATTTACAATCCACAGTAGCCTGAGAGGCTTTCCCTTGCTCTGTATTCCTGTCAGCTACACCTGGTATCACAGGGGTGCAGCAGCTTTGCATTTCACTGATGAACAGTTCTTCCTATTTTCACATGACTTTTGGCTACAGGACTCATTTATGAAGTGTTTGTTCTTCTGCATACTACTTTCAAACATCTAATTGTTTGTCATCATTATTGTCATCTAACAAGCTAAGAACTGCTCTACAACATGCCTAACAGTCACTAAAAGTAGCGTATTTCTCATGAGAAGTTAATTCCTTGTTTTCTTTATTCTAACCTTATTATTCCAAACTGTTGATTCACCATTTCTTTTCATTATCCCTCTGAAAGTCAATTACAACTCAATAATTAATAATGTACAAGAACCACAGAGGGTTTTACACAATGTTTGTTTCACACAGACAGACTTCCTTAGACACAGAGGCCAGATGCTCGGGATTGGCTGTGTCTTTTGTTTCTATTTGTTTTCAGTAAATGAAGTAGAAGGCAAGCCTCCCTATCTGTGTGAAAAAGAAATGAAGAGTCACTAAAAATGTTTAAATAGATTTATTTTATTTCATGCATATGAGTGTTTTACATACATATATGTGTGTATGTACTATGTACGTCCCTGGAGCCCATGGACTTGTAGACAGTTGCAAACTGCCTGGGGGTACCAGGGATCAAATCCCAGTCCTCTAAAAGAACAAGTGCTCTTATCAGCTGAGACAACTTGACAGAACAGGTCATTAAAATTTCCTAAGTCTAATTATGTCCTCTTTGCCAATATATGGACAGATTAATGCTCAGTCAGCTCTTTAAAAGAATATAAGAAGGAAAAGGGGGAAAAATAAAAAAGAAAAACACTTGTAAAAAGAAATCAGTGGGGCTAGATAAACACCCCAGTCAGTAAAGTGCTTGTCATTCAAGTGTAAGACCCTTACTTCTATCTCTCTCAGCAAAGATTAAAAAATTTTAAAAAAATGCTGAATGTGGTTGAGGCACTGAAAAACTTATGAGGCAAAACAGAGAAAGTGAGACAGAAGGATCCATGTTGGCCAGACAGGTAAACCAACTCTGCAAGCTCAAGCCAACTGGAGATGTCTTAAAGCCAAGGTGGACAGTTCCCGAGGAACAGCACCGGAAATTGTCCTCTTGCCCCCACATGCATAAACACATATATGCATGTGAACACATATGGACACTCACATGCATTTAAAAGGAAGAAACGAAAAGGTAATACACAAGTACTTCTCTCACTTCTCCTCAGACTAAACATAGTTACATTCTGAAAGAAAAAAAGTGTTCATGACCTTTTTCCTTCTTTGCATGATTAATTATTTAATGTACTATTAATTGGAGGATATGGCTGAATTTCAAACACTTTCATTTTCAGTGCATCTCACCCTTTAGTGTAACCAATGATTAAGTAATTGTGTAAAAGGTGAACCAACAAGGTCATCTGAACATTCTCTTCAGCACTCATTACCCACCATCAATAGCAATTAGTAATGGCAACATTTCCATAAATCAACGTCTTTCTGATTATTCTCTGATGATAAACAGTCAAAATGTGTGCATTGCTGCCCACCTTTTTAATATTACATGAAATATTAAGTCTAAATATACCACTGAGAAAACTCAAATGAAAACGAATAGTGGTTTCTTTAATCAAAATGAGCCAGAATAATAATTTATGTACCTTTGAAAGAACACAAACCAACATACGGAATAAAGTGAGTCTTGCCAAACATGTCGGGGTCAGGCAGAAGAAAGTGAAATTGTCAACTAACGACTGCCCATCAGTGTATTCCTCCACAAAGAAAATGATGCCTTCGTCTAACCTCAAAACAGACATTTGCCTACTCAGCTAGGGTAAGCTACAGTTCAAAATAAATAGTGACTCCAGGCGTGCATCACAGAATAAAACTCTACAAAATATCAACAAAGAATATACTCACCGCCTTTATTTACAACTCTCATTTAGAGATCTATGGTTTGGGTTTTATTTTATTTGCTTTGACTGTCATTTTCTGTTGGTCATCATTAATGCCTTTTCCTTTGTTTTTATGAATCGTTAACTAGCATGTTTTTTTTTTTTTAATCAGTCACCAGAATTGATGTTTGTACTTCCAATGGTGATGTCTAAAATTCACTGTCAATTACGAAGGACAATTTGTAGAAAAATCAATTTAAGCTATCTTTATGCAATATAATAAAATACTAAAATTACACTTCAAAAGAAATTACTAGTAGGAAATCAACATACCAGTTAAATCATTTATAGCATGATGCAAGAATCTTTTATACATATATAATTCTACATATAATTATTTGCTTTTTTCTAAATATAATTTGTTCACTTACATAACATGCTCCAAATTTTGTGTTTATTTCTGATTTTTATAATTAATAAACTTATTATAAACATACAACTTAGAATTAGTTCAAAATTAATATGTAGAACTGAAGCACTGGTTCCATATTGTATTTAGTGGAAGGTATATATTGATATGCTATCTTGATGTGCTTTTCACAAATCACAGAAAAATCATGACCAGTCAAGTAATCAAAAATTATACTGCCTCATAAAATCAAAAATCAATACCTAAAACAAGCTCTACATGAGTAAGTAACAAGTCTCTACCCTATTTCTACAAAGTCTACTAAGAAAACATCTCCACCTGGTAATTTTGTCTCTAATGTGTCTCTCTACAGAGCAGTGGCATACTCACATTCTGTGGGAGGAGACGATTTCTCTCCTGATCATAGACTATTAAGTGTTTTCCCACAGTCTAACTAGAACACAGTGAAATGGGATGAAGATATTCCAAATAACTCAACTCCGTCACATTGTTCTATGAAGTTTTTTTCTTCTGAGTTAATTTTTTTCCAGGTTTAGTCATTTTGACTTCTTATTAAGAGGGGAATAAAACAATGTTTACCAAGTTACAATTTTTCTTCCAAAGCAAAAAGAAAAATGTAATAAAAACTCTTGAAGAGGAAGGGTTAGTGACCATTGTTAAGGAAGAGGTGAAGAATATTTTAAGATTTTTACATGTTACCAAATAGGCCAATAATAATAAATTAGTTTATTATAATGAGTTGCTATTGTTACATATAAAGTAAGAAAATGTTGTTTATTTGAAAACTATTCCCTGGACCCTAAGTTAGGAGAACACAACTTACCTTGAGGCATTTCAGGGGGCAGGTAATGGGGTTCCTGCGCACTGACATGGACCCATTCAAAGTCATCGTATAAATCCTGGTGATAGTCGCAGGCTCCTGGCCCATCATCAAAGCTACAGCCACCTAGGAAGGGAAACAAGGAGCATGGTTACCTTTACCCGCATTTTCTCCATGTGAGGAAAGCAGTGAAGAAGCAAGTGCTAGGGTGAAACATGTAATGACCATGACACTTGTGATCTCAAAATCAGAGATACTGCTGTTGACCACGCATCCTCTTAAAAATTCAATACCAATAGAAACTTCAGTATATTCTACTGGGCTGAGTCCCAAAAGGAAAGCTGAGGTTTTGGATTATTTTTAGAAGAGTGTGTGTGTGTGTGTGTGTGTGTGTGTGTGTGTGTGTGTGTGTGTGTACATACATATACATACATACACACACACACACACAAACACACACGCAGGCTGGTCATGGTGGCACACACCTTTAATCCCAGCAGTCCAGAGGCAGAGGCAGGCAAACCTCTGTGAATTCAAGACCAGCCAGGTCTACAAAGCAGGTCCAGGACAACTAAGGCTACACAGAGAAACCCTGTCTGGAAACACACATAATAAGGCTTTGCTTCAATGAACAAAAACTACAGTCCAAACACTGTTGACAGCTTACTGCAAAGGGGACAGGAAGTGTAAAAACTTTCTTTGCAATGCAAGCTAAAAACAGTGAAGTTCATACTCAGGCCTTAACAATCCCTTGATTTAAACGATGTCTATAGTGTCTACTACAGCAAATTAAACACACAAGCTTACCAAGATCTAAGTAGTGCTTGAGGTCTGGGGTAGGCTTTTCTGTACATTATTTATATCATTTACAAACAAAGTTTCGAATTTTAAAGTGAGGGAAACTGAAGCACAGAATGGATCAGCTTAGCCTGTAACCACACTCAGGATACCACTTCCCTTAATGACCTGATTTTTATTGTGCGAGTAGCCTTTCCTCTTTTACAGTGGTCATCTCCTGGCCTCCATAGCTTTACTTTCAGATGTGACTGCATAGCAGAAGGAAAATGATTGCCTTTGCCTCTCAGCTCATCTGCAATAGGTACACACAAGTCAACTTATTCAGTTTACTTAAATCGGGGAAAATAAGAAGTGGCCTGTATGTCTAATCTTGAAAGAAAATGGATTACAACTAATGAAAATCTAGCGATGGCTTTAATGAGAAAAACCAATAACCTGTCTCCATTCAAGTGGCTTATTTGCTTAGTTTCCATGGAGATCTGTGTGGAGAAACTTGGGGAATTCTAAGGCAGGCAGTAACAGCTAACAGGTGGTAAACTTCAGACCATTAAATTCGTTTCACTCTGCTCATCAAAAGTTTTGTCTTTGGATGTGACTGAAAGACCCAGTCTTCACCATCAAAAACAAAACTGTAAAGGACAGAGAACTACAAAACCCCAAAACCTTTCTCAAAAGCCTCTCTCATAATTACAGTAACCCTTCACTGTAACCCACAGCCCAACAGCCAGCACACACATTATTGTCTTTTAAATATGCTTAAAGTGACTTTTGTTACACAGGCTTTCATGAAAGATGATGTACTTTTCATTTAAAATTAATTTCACTTAAAATTAATTTAATTTATTTAAAAACTTCAAAGGAAGGTTGCTAGGAAATGCATCTTTACATCACAAGGGGGAAAGTTTTTCTCACAAATAGAATTTGCTATTACAACCCCAAAAGACTTCCGGCTTTGCAGTGGATGCCTGCAGGAACCCCACTGCCCTTTACACGGGTCTGGGCTCCCTCTGTATATAAATTTAAACTATCAGTGGAAATCACATTGACTCATTTGGAAGACAAATGGCTATAATTGCTGCCCCTCATAGGCATGGTTAATTTTAGACTCAGGTATTTAGATGAAAAGTAACAGGGGGACTAGCTATACAAAACAACTGAGCTGGCTTTGCTTGTCACCACTACATCAGAAATGTGTCAAAAGGATCTTGAAATTGTTAACTGATAGCTTGACTTGCATGGGAAGAAAAATCGTTGAAGATGAATCTTGGATTTCTATTTTATAATTAAGTTCTAATCCAAGGGGTACCACAGACCTATTTATTACATGGAAAGCATGTTTGTAAACCTGTACTGGCATATTCTCACCTTCAGTGTTGTAATGGGAATTTCTGTCCCAAGATGAAGGACTAGTGAAGTGAAGACAAAGTATAGAGGAAAAGAAATTGGATACCATAATAATAACTCTAGGCTGATAAATGAAATAGAATGATGCATTTGGTAACAAGATGATCAAAACTCTAAAAATAAATAAACAAACAAACAAATAAACCAAAACTGACTATACTCGTTAAATCAGTGTGTGCCAAGAAAAGAAATGCCAGTGGCTCTCTCAAGAAGTCCAACCCCAGGTCTTGGGAATATATTCTCCTTTTCCTAAGCACCTCCAATCCCTTTCAACCTAACTATTTTCTAAAAGTTTCTCTCAAGAAGTCTTGATTGCTGAGCAACAATGGCAGTGTGCGCCTTTAATCCCAGCACTCGGGAGGCAGAGGCATGGGGATCTCTGAGTTTATAGTCAGCCTGGTCTACAGAGTGAGTTCCAGGAAAACCAAGGCTACACAGAGAAAGCCTGTCGTGAAAAACAAAAACCAAACAAAGAAAAAGGAAGATGTCTTTCTTCTTAGTGTGAAAAGAAGAAAAGCACACATGAAAATGAGATTGCAAACAGGGAAAACATACACACACACACACACACACACACACACACACACACACACGAGAAAAGTGTCAAAAGCATAAAGGAACTTGGTGTGATGTCAGAGGCTGGAAAACATTTCTGAATAATAGCTGTGAAAAGTATGGAGGGGTAATGTAGAAACACAACTTAACATGGAAGGTTCAGTTACCATAAAAGGAAGTTAGACAATTATTCTAGGATTGCACTGAAAACACTAAAATGTTTTATCCAGCCTCATGGAGTACAAAAAAAGGGAATAAGCTAAACTGACATAGCAATATGGATCCAGCTTAGAACACCTCTTATCCTGTTTAATTGGATGGCTGGAGAGGGGGTGGTAAGGAACAGAAGACAAGCGGGCTTGCTGGGGTCTTGTATATGCTACATAAGTGCTGTACCTCTATGCTTCGTGAGCAATCCTAACATATATCCTGAGCAAAGTTTATTACACCCTATCCCTGTTGCTGATATCAGAATCAGTATGGGCTTCTATGATATATGATCCTCCAAATACATGTTCCTGAAACACGGTTTTTAAGAGAGAATGCCCCTGGCCATGTGCTCATACACACCCTTAATCCCAAAATCTAGGAGCTAAAGGCAGACAGATATCTGTGAGTTCAAGGCCAGTGTGGTCTTCTACATAGTGAGTTCCAGCCAGCCAACGCTATACAGTGAGACCCTGTCTCAAAAATAAAATGGAGAGGCCGGAAGTAAGGCTCTCAGAGTTCTGTAAAAGTGACTCCTACATTAAAAAGTCTTTGGACTCTGGGTTGATGGAGACTTACAGAATTAGAGACCCAAAAGCCAAAATGACCGTTGAGGATCCTTAATAGACATTTATTAGCAACACCTGCATATGGGACTTACCGTGCTACCCACCATTAGGCAGAACATATTCCTGGGGAATTTAGTCAGACAACTAAGTTATTAGAGTAGCACTAGGTTACAGGAACATGTAAGTCAAAGAAATCACCAACATCTATGGCCTGTGCCCGAGAGTTCCAGCTTTGTAAGAGCCTGTGGGCATGCATCAACTCATGATTGTGAATGTTCTATTACCAGAAAAAGCTCATGCAATCACTTCTACACCGGAGCATGACATTCAGGGCAACCTGAGTTCATGTTCCCAAGCCACAGTCATTGTACATGTCTCCAAATAGACTCATTCCTTTCGGAGGAAGACCTGTATTATGGGTCCACAGCTCTAACTCATCAACAAAAACAAACGTAAAAAATCTTAAGTTTCGCTCAGCTACAGGAAGGAACAGTAGGTGGCAAGCCTGAATTGGTGCCAACAACATTCTGGTCTGCAGAGAAGAAATATGAAGGAGGTAGCACTGTCAGTCTTCAGTTACTCTATCAGCTCCTACTTATAAGACAACATATAGGAAGCGGCAAATCACATCTGAGCAATGGAGACCAAGGTGTTTGACCCCTGGAGGAGAATTACTTCTGAAGAGCATCTCAGATTGCTAATTCCTCTCCACTGATCACTCAGTTAAGGGTTAGCTCCATCATCACAAGTGTCTGTTTACCTTGCTGTAAGCCATGTCAGGGCCTCTGCACCCAGGTCAGCTGAAAATAGTATCAGACTTATTTTTTTTTTTTTTTCATTCCTAAACTCTGTAGCCATGACAGGCTACAGAAAAGACACATAGGCCTGTAACACAAAGAAACTCCAGATCCTCTGGCCTCCCAGAGCCTAGGGCCAAAAATAAACTCCAGACCACCCCACCTAGGTGCTAGGTTAATATTCAGTAACACGATCCAACCATCCATCTTTTACACACACACACACACACACACACACACACACACACACAAAATTAATTAATTAATTGATTAATTAAATTGGCAATTCAGTCCTCAGTGCATCAATACCTAGATTTTAGAGATTCTTCTTCAATTTAATATGTTTATATAATGAATTTCAATTAGCTTGACCTCCATTCCTCCTAGCCAACCCCCTTTCCTTGAAAGGGTGTACTAAATTAAAAGGCTTCACTTCTACGAATGAAGGGACCAGACCCTCACTCAGCCTCTGCTTTAGAAGCCATGACAGGCTACAGAAAAGACACATAGGCCTGTATCACAAGGAAACACCAAATCCTCTGGCCTCCCGGAGCCTAGGGCCAAAACTAAACTCCAGACCCTCCCCGCCAGGCCCCCAGCCTCCCAGGTACTTGGTTCCTGGGAACTGTTTGGCCACAAAAGAAACTCCAGGGGAGACCAAAACCTCCCCTATAGTCTCCAGGATACAGTTCTGAAAATTATTGGTATCTATTAACAGGCCACCTGCAAGTAACAAGACAAAGCCATAGAAATGTTCCCTCTCAGCACTGACCAATGAGAATACCTGGTACACAGG